AACGTGTGGACGTTTGTTCTGAACGACGTGGAGTTCAGAGAGGTCACCGACCTGGTGAAGGTCGACAAGGTCAAGATCGTTGCCTGTGACGGAAAGAGTGAGTCGACCCAGAACAAGAGTGATAAATGAGTAAGTGTAAAAGACACACACACACACACACACACACACACTCCTGTGAGTTCGTAGTTTTAATAATGAATAGTTTTTGCCAGTAACACTCACCTGTATTTAAAAGTTAAACCTTGATCGATATGAAATATTTCAGGTTTTCAACATGAATTCGTGTTTATCGACTTTATGTATCATTAGTTAATATAAATTTTATTTGAATGTGTTTATCTCTGCAGACTGGGGCTCGAGTGCTGCAGAGTGACGACTCTTCATGTGTCGGCTGGAGCCACAGACGGACCTGGACTGTACATATAATTTATTACAGCAGAGTCAGAGCTGAGTGTGTGTGAATGTGTGTGAGTGTGTGTGTCTGAGTGTGTGAGTGTGTTTGTGCGGTGTGTGTGTGTCAGAGTGGACCAGTCACTGTTTGTTTTTATTTTCAGTTTACAGGAGTTTGTTCAGTTGCTGTTATAATTGAGCTCAATCATCTTTAATAAAAACTTTATTTAAAACACGGAGGCTGATGATTTACTTAAGATTCTTCCAGTAAATGAAATAATGATGATGTGAGATTTATTTTGTCTGTTGGTTGATTGATGTGTAATTATTTTGATCATCAAATCATTTACCTCTTCTCATGTTTGAGTTTCACAACATGATGACTGACAGCGTCTGCTGATCACACGCTACTTTTATGATGCATTCTGGGATGCAGTGTCCGCTACAGTTGTCCCTCGACTTTCAGAAAACACCGGAGCAGACGGAAGGTTTTTCATCTCGTTTATTAAAAGAACGTCAGGATTTCACATGTATAAAAGAGTGCAACTTAAAAACGATACGATTACATTGATCAACATTTCCATAAAGCTACAACACGTAGAAGATAAATACAACTTTTCTCTTTTTACTGCAAATGAACCGGGTTCTGTATCGATGACGCCTTCTGAAGACTTCAGGAATAATCACTGGATATATGGACCCGGTAAATATCTGTGGATACACACCAGGATAAAGTAGATATGAAATATAAAGGAATATATCTGTTTTGTGATGAAACGTGTGGATCAATACTGCATGAAGGTGGACATGGCTTCTGCTTTCAAACAAAGAGCTGAAGAGGAATGAAAAGACGAACGGTTGATATTTACGGTGACGTGTACGAAAATCACGGTGGAGACACCAAGGACGTTAACGAGACCGATGTGATGAAATGTTTGACCAGTCGAACGCCACGTGACGTTGAACTTCAAACCGCTGTGACGTCGACCGCTGCTGTGTGAGCTGCCGTTCGAAGACTTGAGTTTGGCATTTTGTCTAGCACCATCTTGGCATGTTGGGGCCCAGGTTAATCTGGACATGTGGACAGTTCAGGCTTCATCCGTCCAAAGACATTTCCAAACTAAACCAGTCTCTGTCCACACAAGTGTCTCGGCTCTGCTACGACTTGAATCCCCGTCTGCACTAACGTACACTGGGCGGACAAGAGACGGTGAAACAGGAATTATTTGGTTGTTAGTTGCAGGAATCTCAGGTTTAATCTCAAATAACATCTCGTCTCCTCCACGTGTACAAATTAGTGTCATTGAAAAATACAGGATTTAACTTCACAACAGCTGTTAGCAAAGACAACAGGGTCAGTAACCCCTGATTCTCCGTGTTCCACTCTGGTAGCTGAGGCTGATGCTGGTTGTCATGTGACAGGAGACGAATCAGCCACGGCAACATCATGACAGAAAAAGATCCAATCAGCAAGAGGCTGTGAGCGTCTACATCATCGCTTCCAAACAGTTCTGTCTCTGTTCATCCAACATAGCCCCGTAGTTTTCTAACTAAGACGAGACCAACGGCATTTCCAAACTTCTCAGAGTCGTGTGGACACAGTTGATGTGTTTGTGGGACGTGTCTACGTGTCGTCCACCTTCGTTTGCATATTTACTATTATTATTTATTTCTCTGATCCTGACACAGACGCTGGTTTTGTTCAGAAAACCTGAGGAGAGTCGGTCGGATGCAAAAACACTCTCAGCTGCCTCAGGGTCAAAGGTCACATCATAGCTGCCGAAAATCTTTTCAGTAAAACAGGAAACGGGTTCATCTACAAACTACACATTCAAGAATAAGAAGACACTTTTAGCAAATGTAGAAAGAGTATAAAAAGAATCTGGATTCAGATGTAAGAAAGTCCCACTGCTCCTCCTCCGTTCAGTCCAGGAAGCGTTGGCAGGCTTTCTTCCAGCGACAGGCCGTGCACCACTGATCTCTGTGCTCGATGCCGTAAACTTTACGACACTTCTTGGCTTCACCACGAATCCTCCTACACACAGATTGATCATCACTGTTAACACCATTAAGTGCGTCTCTGCCTTCTATCCCGACGCTCTACAGAGTAAAACATATTTCATGCTCTATTCTGAGATTTTGGACGGATCTGCATTTTTCTTTCAGACTAGTGAAACATTTTTTTTTTCCTATTTGAGTCTTTAGATTTAAATCACAGTTTGTTTTGATCCTCTGAGTCACACATCTCCACGTCCAGATTCATTCCTTCACAACCTTTAAAGAGACGGAGCCGTCCACAGAAACATCAGGAGGCAGCATGTGTACTGACCTGCAGGGGGCGCTCTGGTGCTGCAGCCACTGCTCTCCTACGCTGACCGAACGCTCCCGAAACGGCAAACCCTGAGAGAGGAGGAGTCAGTGTTAACGTGGGGGAGGAAACAACCTTCGTCCATGAAATCGTTTGTTTGTTTGTTGATGAACGATTGAGTTTCACAGTTTAAGCTTCCGACTGAAACGCTGAAGAATCTCTAACGTGCAAACGCTCCGTTCTGTTCGCTGATAAACATGATTGACAGGTTACCTGTCTGCTGTGGCAGGTGGAGGGCGGGGCTGTCCAACGACAGGAAGTCATGCTGGAGGCTACCTCTGAAACCACATGACCGGGAGGTGGAGCCTAAAGAACCAATCAAACGTTAGAGTTCAGTGTCAGAAAACACAAATTGTTAATCGGCTGTTTATCCGTATTTTCCAACAGTATAAGGAAAAAAATCTTTGGATTAAAAACAAACTGCTGTTACGTTACAAATTAAATTTATCTTATTAAAATATACATCGTACATTAACTGTCAATCACTGCTGATAAGCCCCGCCATACCTGGTAGGAGTGCTCTGATTGGACCTGCCAGATGCTGCCGGAGGAGGAAGGGGCGGAGCGACTCAGAGCGTCGTTGGTCGAGGAGGGGGGAGATGGAGGGGCAGGGCTGACGGGCGAGGAGGGGGAGGCAGGTGAGGTGGTGGGTGAGGAGGGGGCGGGGCCACAGAGGGGAGGTTGGGGAGGAGACTGACACTGGGCGACCTCAGTGTAGTAAAAATCCTCCTCGCTGCGAGAACAGCGCTCGTGTTCGCCGCTGCGGCTGTGAGAGGGCAGAGGTCAAAGGTCAGAGACGTTCATCGGGTCGTAACTTAAACTTCGTCTCTAGAGTCGAGATCGTACAAACATTCAAAATGGCGGACTCAAAAATACGATTGAGGAGAAAAGGAAGAAGAGCAGATGATGAAGATGAAAATAAATAAATATGTTGTGAACATTAATAAACTACTCGACATTTTTATTGGTTATTTTTCCTTCAACGTTTTGGCAAAAATGAGCTTCAACAGAAAAAGCTCTTACCACAGGTGTGTTGTCCTGATGTGGCGTTTGATTCCCACCACTGTCGTCAGCACCTTCCCGCAGGTCGGCCACAGACACCTGTACGCCACCTTCACAGAGTTCTGCAGGAGGAAACGCATCATCAGCACTTGACCTTGTCACCGCCGCATGTCATTACCGTAAACGCCCTCTCACCCTGCGTTTCCGCGGCGCCGGCTCGTCAAACAACACCTGCTCCAGCTCCATCTCCAGCCCCTCGTCAGGGGGCGTGACCGGGCTGGCGTCGGGCTCCGTGATTGGTGGAGAGGGTGCCGGGCTTCCGTTGGTGTGGCCGACGCTCCAGTAGCCGCTGCTGCTGTCAGAGAGCTCGCCGCCACCACAGTCCATCGGAGGAGCTGAAACACAAAATACAGCGTTTACTGTTTATATAGAAGAATTTAAACATGAATTAAAACTTAAATCAATTGAGGCCATTATATTAATTAATTAATGCCTCAATTAATTTCAAATATCATGATTTTGAGTCATTGAGTTTTTCTTTCTTTCTTATTCATTTTGGAAGTTTCTTCTACAGAAACAACATCATGAGACACGAGAGGTAAAACTCCTGATTCTGTCTTTACTGTTGTCCTTGGCTGTCGTACCTGGCGGCTCTGGATTGGCCGAGCTGTGCAGCAAAGGGCTGCAGGACAAACTGCTGAGAACCATCGCCGCCATCAGCTCGTCCATGTCCACGTCCTGTGGACTCCTCTGGCTGCAGGACGAGAGGAAACTGAGTTAGAGTCTGTTTGTTGGACTGTGTGAGGAGACACTCAGGGACACAGAGAAGACGTCTGACCTCCTGGGGACGTCGATGCAGGATGAGACACATCTGCTGCTGGACGGAGGCACTGACCACACAGAAACTTCACTCTTCATCAGGTCCGGCTGATCCACCCGACCTGGAGACTCACCTCCTCCTCCTCCTCCGCACTGAAAATACACCTGGAGGACAGAAACACCACGGCTCAGTGTGATTGGCTGAGACACCCGTCAATCAAAGCTGCACCGGGCAGAAACACCCGACGCTTCCTGTTCTCACCTTCAGTCCGGGGTGACGTCTGACTCTGCTCACGGCCTGTGGTCCTGCTGCTGTTGCCATGGCGATGCCAGTCTCACCTGTCTCCAGGTTAGTGAGGTTCCCGGCCGTCGTGCAGGTGGAGCTCACCGACGCACCAAATGGAGAACGCTTCCCGAGGCGGGTCTTTGGTAACATGTCCGTCTGTCTGCGTGAGATTCAGAGAAGGTCAGACGCTGTCATGCTAACATGCTAACAGTGACGGAATGTTTACCACCTCGGTTTGCTGAACATCACTGACCTCCAGCCCGGAGCTGTTGCCAGATAAGGAACATTGAAGTTTCGTACCAGAAGTTTGAAAATGATCGTTCAGAGTAGAGATGGGACGTTTCAGTGAATGCGTAAACACAGAAATGATCCATGTTTCTCCACCCAGATTACAAAAGTGTCACAGGTGTCGTACAAATACGATAATTATCCTGCAACCAGCAACTCTGCAGCTGAGGCCCATAGTAACATCATGAGTTCTGAACATGAGCGTCTGAACCAGAGGTTTGTCTCTGAGACACTCTGGTCTGAACCAAAGTGGAGGACAGATCGTCTTAAAGACCCTCGCTGCTGATTGGACTAAACACACTGGTGAACGGTCACAACATGAATTCAATTGAATGTGCATGTCCACATCCCTCCACTAGAGGTCAGTAAAGTTAAAAAGTCACGACGACAACTGAAGAAGTTCTCAAGACAAGTTGTGGAACGTCACATCACTGACACTCTTTGGACTCTGCTCCTTTAATTAGTTCCTCATCTTTGTTTTCACTAATCAAAGTGAAATTATAAATGAACGTCTGCATCTAAAAGAAGTCGTTCTGTGGAGATTCTTCTGAAACTAAACACAAGGAGCAGTAAATGAAAAGTCTAAAACTGCAGATGTGATGTTTTAAATTAAGAAGCGATCAGAGAACACGTCATAAATCATCTGACCACACGTCCAGAACTCAGCAGCAGATACGTTTGTGTTGCAGCTTTTCACTGAGGGACATTCAACGTGCTTTAAATAATCACATGAAGAGAAACTGAGCCGGAGAAAGAAAATGACAGTTCAGTTCAGGACGAGAAGCAAACGCCTCCAATTTAAGTTTGATTTAAAGGAACTGAGCTCGAACTTCAAGATTTCTGATGGTTTCTGAAGAAATGACTGAAAACTGCAGCTGAAGACCCCCCCCCCCAACAAGGCTGCTGGGAAAGAATAAGCTCTGGATTAAGTTTGACGGTCGAACCTGTTCTATGTTTCATAGATCTGATGATCAGAGTGAGTCACAGGCTGCAGAGTCATTTACAGTCAGTGTGTGTGTGGGTGTGTGTGTGTGTGTCTGTGTGTGTGTGTGTCTGAGTGTTTGTGTGTGTGTGTGTGTGTGTGTGTTTGTGTGTGTGGGTGTGTGTGTGTGTGTGTGTGTGTCTGAGTGTTTGTGTGTGTCTGAGTGTGTGTGTGTGTGTGTGTGTGTGTGTCTTCAGTAACTAACTGAGCAGCTAAAGGATTAAAATAAATGAACAGACGGACTCGACTGAATCAATGTTTCTTTATCTGCTGATGATAATTACATTCATTATTAAACTGTGTCGCCGTGGCAACATGATGAAATGTGACACCCCCCCCCCCCCAGTTGGTTTCCAGTTAATAGCTGACTCAGAATAACGTTTCCAGACAGAAGAAGAAGAAAACCAAAGTACTACAAGTGGAGTCATTCAGTAGTACTTGTACTTTATGTCAGTACTTAACACTAGTAACTTGAATATTTCTGTAACATCTCAGAGGGGAACAAGACAAACAGATCACTGCAGTACTACAGTACTACAGTATGTTTACTGTGATACCGTAACGACATTAAGTCATTCTGTAACGACAATACTTTTACTGTGGTACTGTAACTACATGAAATATCTTCACTGCAACTACAGTACTGTGATACTGTAAGTACATCAAGTACTTCTACTGTAACTACATTACTTTTACAGTGATACTGTAAGTACACCAAGTAGTTTTACTGTAACTACCATACTTTTGCTGTGGTACTATAACAACATGAAGTACTTCTACTGTAACTACAGTACATCCACTGTTACTACTGTATGTCAACTGATACTGTAACTACGTGAAGTACATTTACTCTAACTACAATACTTTTACTGTGATTATAGTATGTTGGTGACACCACAGACACATTCAAACCTGAAGTCACAGTACAAATACTCTGTTACTAGTAAAACATTTCAAACTGTTTTAAATGAATATTCTGATGCACTGAAAGTATTTATTATCTGTGATATGTTGAGTATTCACAGCTCAGTAAGAAGTGAAGTACCGGATTCGGTGAAGTATAAATACACACATGCTGTACATGTACTGTACAAACACACCCCCCTGTCTGTCTGCAGCGCTGAGCTCTGGACCAATCACAATCCTTCTCTTCTGAGTTCACACCCTCCACAATAAAAGTCCTGTATGAACAACAACAGCCACAAATCAGACTCTTATTTTCTCCACCAGTGACAGAAGTTCATGTGCGGAGCCTTCCGGAATCAAAGTGTTTGTCTTTAGTTTCCAGACTGAACCACAACTACACAACTGTTCCCTCAGTGGAAACAACAGAACAAGTACACAACTGTTGTGTAGCAGCACCACGAGACTCTGAAGCTTCACTCATCTTCACTTTCCCTGAGTCGCCACGAGAACTGAGGAGGAAACGTGCTCCTGCAAAACACGTTCCATGATTTCACTCTCCTGGAAAAACCTCCGGAGTCAGAAACACAAAAGTCAGATTGAAGCACGTGTGTGTGTGTGTGTGTGTGTGTGTGTGTGTGTGTGTCTGTGAGTGTGTGTGTGAGAGAGAGAGTGTTGTCACGTACCTGTACAGTCTCAGTCTGCAGCTCAACAACAACAACACTTCCAGTAGGTCAGGATGTGTCCACTGCTCTTCAATGGGAGCTGGGAGTGTGTGTGTGTGTTAGTGTGTGTGTGTGTGTGTGTGTGTGCTACAGCCAGTTTGAACACACATCAGTATCATTGAAAACCTGAACCGGATCAGACCTGGACATCTGGAAGGGAGTTTTTTTTTAAATGCTCTGGTTTGTCCACATTTGTCCATTATGTAATACTTAGACTCAAACTCCCTCTGGTGGTTTGTCAGTAGTAATAGTTATAAATAAAAAAAAAGACTTTAGTAATAAAAAGACAAATATTTTTGTGATGATTCGATTTTTTTCTGTCTGGACGCTAAACTGAAGACGTTCTAGAAAGACGCCACCTTCAGGTTGATTCCACTTTCACACCACAGACGGTAAATAAAGATGGACGTCATGACAGCTCCCGCAAGAGAAGCCAAATTATCCGGACGTCCCCCTGGTGGCTGGCGGCAGTACTGGTGATAGATGACGTTAAGACGGTGTCTGTCCTTGTAGTTAGTTCGTGTCACGCTGTTTGTTCACGTGTTCGTGTTCGTGGTTAAAATGCTGAGACGTCATGACTGACAGCTGAGACTGACTCAGGATTGGTTGAGAGCGTGGAGGTCAGAGGTCAGAGGTCAGAGGTCACTGCTCCACGTGCACAGATCAACGAAACCGGGATGAAACTGAACTCACACCGGTTTGTTCCTGTGTAAACCCCGAATCTGATCCTGCTCCGGGTTTTCCCAGCAGCCCCCGCGGTGGCTCCTGGGTCTGTAGTAAACAAGGGAACCACGTGGGAGGAAGGTGGACGGTGATTGGTCGAGAGCATCCGTGGAGGAACACACCCCACTGAGGTCTGTTGTTTACTGACTGAGAAATGGAACCACACACACTTCATGTATAGATGTGTGTGTGTGTGTGTGTGTGTGTGTCCATGTTTAAAGTAAATCAGCTGCAACATGTACACACAGTAACTACATACATGTGAATATGTCTCATGTGTGTGTGTGTGTGTGTGTGTGAGGACAGATTCCTGTAGTCACGTGTCAGCTGCATGATTTCATATCAAATCTATAGTGTTATTGTGTGTTGCATGTGTGTATCACCATGCCTTTGTGTCCGTGTGTGTACTTTAAATGTGTGTGTGTGTGTGTCAGTGTGTAGAATGAGTGAGTGTGTGTATTGCCATGTCTATATGTCAGTGTGTGTACTTTAACTGTGTGTGTGTGTGTGTGTGTAGCAGTAATAACAGTAATAACAAAGAGCAGCCTGTGGGTGGGGATCAGCCCTGATTACATAACCCACTGTGATCCTTCCTCTCTCAACCGCCCTCTCTCTCCCTGTGTGTGTGTGTGCATGTTGTGTGTGTGTCAGCACGTAGCTCACATCTCATCGTTGTGTACGTGCTGACACTGCTGACTGTGAAGTCACACGGGACTCAAACAAGTGACACACTCATTTAAAACTGACATTTAATCAAAGCAACAAAATACAGACGTGAAGTTTGTGAGAATTATCTCATGAGTGTGTTTGTGTTAATCCTGTTTTACTGTTGTCGAGTTTAATCCTGATTAGTGAACAATGAGCGTGAATCTTCACACTGAGCAGCTGTGAGAGGATCAACCGCTGATAATCTACGATGAGACTGTAAATAAAGACGGACGACAAATCCCCATCAGCCCCGGAGATGAAGCTAAAACATCTACGAGTGGAACGCTGCCATCTTGTGGTGATGGCGACACCACACGCGCTCACCTGATCACCTGATCACGTTAAATCACCGTGGTGATGATGGTGGGTGGGTCGCTCACATTATCATTATTATTTGTAACGTGTGATTATCAGTGTTTCTTCATCTCCGTCAGCTGACTCAGCTCTTTTTATCCAGCCTGAAATTATTACTAAAATGTCAGATCAGTGTGTGTGTGTGTGAGTGTGTGTGAGTGTGTGTGAGTGTGTGTGAGTGTGTGTGAGTGTGTGTGTGAGTGTGTGTGAGTGTTTGAGTGTGTGTGTGAGTGTGTGTGAGTGTGTGTGAGTGTGTGTGAGTGTGTGTGTGTGTGTGTGTGTGTCGGGGGTGTACCGTATTCTCCCTCTGTGTTTTAGGTTAATTAACCTTGTGATCAAATCACCCAGAATGCAGTTCGCCTCTGTTTGATCAGCTGATGATGACATCACTGGCTGATTAACTCAGACGTTCACCAACGATCGGTTTCTGTGGCGACGCCTCAAAAACCGACCGACTCACGATTTGGCCAAAAGTGAACGGACACAGAGTTCTTCAGACATGACGGACAGATCACAGACGGTCCAGTGTTCGATGAAGCTGTCACACGTGGAGCTTTGATCCCCGTCCACACCGAGCGGCTGAAGACGGATTGTGAAACACAGAACCGAGCTGAACAGCAGCTGCTGGTGACGACAAGAGGTCATGTGACGGTAGAGGAATCGGTGACGACCTCTCAGTCCAGCAGTGTTTTCAAACTCGTCAGTTTCTTTGAGGATAAAAATGAAATAAAGCAGCTTTGTTGATTTTCCTTCACTGTGGTCGAACTTCCCCTCCACGAGGTTTTGTGTTTGTGAACGTTGACGAACCCTCCGTGAAGAAATGTGTCGTCTGTCAGAGAAGTACGATGATGGTCGACGTGCCGAACGTGTCAGTCCCAAAGATCTGCTGAGTCAGATAATCACAACAGGATGTTACACCACACACACACACACACACACACACAGTTACACTGACTCATGACACAGCAGCATCATGTGACCTCTGACTCACACACACAGAACTGAACTCCCATAAGTGAAGCCAAATCCTCTGGATCGCCCCCTGGTGTCTGGCTGCAGGTTAGGTCATAAACGCCGCCTCCTCCCAGTCAGCAGCTGGGACATGGGTTTCATGATGATATAAATCTTATGACTGATTGTTTATAAATGTTTTTATTCGTGATTCTTTAAAGGGACGTTCCACCACTTTACACATTAAGATCCCTCAGCCAATGAAAACACTGCACATTTGCATTATGGGAAATGTAGGCTCTAAATTAAACCAGCTCTCATCCCTTTTAAACCGAATCATTTTTCCATGTTCATATTTACAATGAGTTGCGATTAACACGTCTCTGTCTCATCTGTCGTCCTTCATGTGTCCTTCATCCTCGTCTTTTTCCTCCATTCATGTCCTTCATTTGTCTCTTCTCCTCCTTTGTATTTTATCCCTTCTCCTCGTCTTTCATCTCTCATGGTTCCTCCTCGTCCTTTGTCTTTATTTATCCTTCTTTGTTCACCTTCTGTAATTTGTCTGTCTGTGTTTTCAAGTCTTATCCGTCCATCATTTATTCTGATATCCTTTGTCTCTGATGTTTTATCTTTCTGGTCTTTCATTTTTCTGTCCTCTTACTCCATCACTCCATCATCCCTCCTTCTCCGTCTCTCTGTCAGGCAGCGGAGGTAAAGGCTCCTCCCCTTCCTCTGTCTCCCTCACCTGTCCCACCTCAGGTGTGTGGGCAGGGGGCGGGGCCTGTCTCACCTTCTTGCTGACTTGAGCATAAACTGAATTTCTGTCACTAAAATCCACCGTCGGTGCATCGGGGGGGCGCGTTGTGTCGTCTCCGCCTCCGTCCTGGTCAGGATTGGTCCTCGGTGGTGTCACCGTGTTGGCGTCCGCCCGCCCTCCTCCGATGGAATGGTAGATGTGGTCTGAGTGTGAATCGGCAGAGCTCACATCTGTACAGACAGAGAGACACAGTTTTAAACAGTCTTATTTGTAACATTAGACTTTTCTAGACGTCCTGCGTGTGGATGGACGATGAGACAACGGGAAACTGGACACACATGTAAAAGGACACAGGAGTCGATTCCTTCGTGGGCAAAGGTCAAAGGAGGGGGAGGATTATGAGTTTCACCAGCTTAGTAACTGAGCTGCAGTTGTGTACAGATGTGTATAAGTACACATGGGCCGAGGGGGGGGGGTCTTTAATTGAAGCTTCTGAAAGACGCAGCCCTGAACTGAGACTCAGTGATGAGGACATGTTGATGAGGACATGTTGGTTTCTCACTTTTCTTTATTTCCTTTCCGTACTCAGGCTTTTATCTTATTAAACATGTTCTTCCCTTTCTCCTTCATTCTTTTTTTTTTTCCTTTTCTTTCACACGCGATAAACTTTCTGTTATTCAAAGTTTACAGTTTGTGATTCAGCTCAAAGAACGAACCTCAGAAAAACAGAAACCGAACAACGGATAAAGGCACAAGAAAAAAACTGGACACAGATGAAAGTCATCAGGGCGGAGGAGACAAACTCAAAAGACAAGGAAGGAAGTAAAGGTGTAAGAGACACGTAACGATAGAAACTATAAAGTAAAACAGGAAATTATTCGTCCAACGCAAAATAAAAATGAATACGGAAAAACTTGGTTTACAACAAAGAGAGTTTTCTCTGAAAACACTTTGTGCTCTTAACGCTCCAACTGTGGCAAATGATGATGTCACCGGGGTTTTCCAACATCATCATTCATTTAAAGCTGGAACCAGAAAATGTTTGGTGTAGAAGTGAAAGTGTGTCACATGCGCTCAGTGTGAACTCATCTGTGAACGCTTCCTGTTGTCACACAGGTGAAACTGCTTCACAGTGACTTGTTGCTGCTGAACGCACAGATTGAACTTTCACTGGTTTGAAACTGTGAACACGTGTTTCCCTTCATATTTATCAGCAGCGGATTTAAGTTCCTTTTTCTACCAACACACACATTTCTACCTTGTTGCTCTGGCGCCCTCAGGTGGCTCCTCCACGCCGTGAACTGGACTGAGTTTTCCTCCACAGCCCTGGACTCTTTAAACACACACACACACACACACACACACACACACACACACACACACACACACACACACACACATGCATCATGGGAAATGTAGTAATGTAGTTTCTACTTTGCTTCAGTGTTTAAAATAAAAAACAATTAAAGTAAAAGTTTATAAAACAGGACGATGACGTACGACCAGCAGGAGACGCTTCCATCACTGCTGCACAGCCATTGGTCTGAACATCTGCACACACACACACACACACACACACACACACACACACGAGACATATTCACATGTATGTAGTTACTGTGTGTACATGTTGCAGCTGATTTAAATGTGGAACAGGGTCAGAGGTGTTTTAACCTTCAGGTAACCACGGCAACAGCATTGCTCCGTCAGTTAGCTGAAAGCTTTCTTTAACCCTGAAACGCACTTGGGAGCACGGAGGGTTATTCTTAACAGACCTTGGTTGTTGGGTGGCGCCTCCAGGTGGCTCCTCCAGGAGGTGAACGAGAGCGAGTCTCCTTCAAAAGAAAAATCTATTTATTAATAATAAAAGTCTCTGTGTTTTCTAAAGTTGTTTAAATGAATAAAAATATACGAATACATTTAATATGTTTATATTTAATATAAAAATGAATCTTAATCCTTAATCTTGATATAATGTGGGCGTTGTTCACTTTAACCAGTTCAACTACAGTTTTTCTGTGAACTTTCTGCTGGATTTTCAGTTTCGTCCTTAAGAGAAACTTCTCATCTGTTAAATTATCTGTCGCTGGTTATTTTCTTGTCTCTGAGTTTCTCAGGTTTCAGGTTTTAAAGATTGAAAACCACAGAAATGAAAGCTGGTTTTCACTTTCACTTTTGTCTCTGTCTCTTTCCCCTCAGTCACATTCACACGTTCATCTTTTCAGACGTTCACTCACCTTTTTCGTCGTTTTGAATATCGCTGATCACAGGGTTGACTCTCTCCATCACAGGTTCCTCAAGTTTCACCTTTTGATAAACACGACGTCAAACGCTCAGTCTATTCTGTCTTTAACGTTAACAGACAAACGCTCAGAGGTCAAAGGTCAAAGGTCTCTCACCACACTGATGAGAGTTGAATGATTTGTGTCCCTCTCTGATTCTTGAAGCTCAAACGAACGTCTGGAAAACGAAAGAAAAAAAAACAACAAAGTTTTAACAAGAAACATCTGAAGATTCAGCTTTTTACACTCAAAGTACAAATGAATGAGATCCTGAGATATTTGGATTCTTCCAGTTGAACTCAGTTAGAAACCTGAGGCTGAACTAAAGATCAGAATTCTTTTGGTGGATTCGTCGCATCACGGTGCAGGATTTCTGTTTGAACGTCTCTCGGTGAAGTTCTGAGGCTCGGAGGTGTTTCCTCTCGGCTCGTGTTCACAGAGACAGAAACAAACAACACGCTCGGATTCATCAGACCTGCTGCACTCGCTGCACAGAGCCGTGAGCAGGATGGAGAGGAGGAGCAGGAGGAGGAGGGACCCGACGACTCCTGATGGCAGGAACCACGACCCGATGACCCCGCTGACCCCGGCTCCGACTGCCGCCATGATCCCTGAGAGAGAGAGAGAGAGAGAGAGAGAGAGAGAGAGCAGGACGTGAGTCATGTGACGATCAGCCTCTGTGCGACCTCTCTGTCTGTCTGACTGACAGGAACTTCAGTTTACTGATGGCGTGGTCGGCGCTGCTCGGACACACCTGAACACACTGGGCGGAGTTTGTTGAGACACTGTTCAGATTCTCTCTCTGATTCTTCGTCTGTAGTTTCAGGAGATTTAGACCGTGCTTCTATTTTTTCTATTTTTAAATAATTACACCCGCTTCACCTCGTTTCTACACAGATTTGTTTTGTTTTGTGTCTGAAATTCTGAACAATCTCCAGAGTGCGCCTCCTGGAGTTCAACACGAGGAAATGCATGTTGAACTCTTCTTCGTGGATGGAAGCGACACTGCAGCTAAGTTTTTCATCATCCAGAATCAAACTATAAGAATAAAGAGTGAGTCACTGATTGTCTTTATAAAAGTCATCAATCGTCTGTGGAGTTTTAATTGATCTAATATTATTGATGAGTTTACGTGTGTGTTGATTTTCAGCAGAAACTTTTGCACTTCATCAAAACGACGACTGAGCTCGGAGGTTTCCACGCTGATGTAACCGTTTTGATATTTGAAAATGTAAAGAAGTTAAACCAGTTTGAATAAATGACTATGATCCTTTTTTTAAACTCACTCAGACACTCGTGAGAAATGAGACTGAAGAAGAAAATGTGCTTGAGGCTGTTTGGTTTGAGTTTTTTCGAGTCGTGTGGAGGAAACGACTGACGTCTCTAAAAAGTCACCGCAGACTCACACACGTTCTGATAATGTTCAGTAGAGTTCTGCTCATTAACATGACTGATGACTACAGGAGGTCAAAGTTCAAACCCTGTGAACAGTTTACGACTCATGTTTCAGCTGCAGCTTCATCCCAAAACACAGGAAACACAGGAAGCAGTTCACGACAAGTTGTTTAGTAACGTGTGAATGAACAGAACTGTCTGAACAAGAGGTCTTTTGTTTTCAGTGATAAATAAAAATACACTTTACATAAAGAGAAGAAGAATGAATCTGATTCGGACGAGACAACGCTGAGCTCTGTCGCTACTTCCTGTTTCAAGAAACACGAACATGAACCTCATTCAAATCAGCAACAGTTTATTAAACACATTGAAATGTGTGTTGTCCATATTTTGTTCATAGTTCATCTCTAATTATTCCACAAACGTCCGTCCGTCTGTCTGCGGGAACAATATCTTTAAACCGTTCAACTTATCGTCTTCACACCTGACGTGTGTATTTTTGATGGTTCACTGAAGTGCAGTGCTGAGTTTGGTGTCGTTTGGACGAGGCTAGCCTGTCCTCTTCTAGGTCCTCAGATAAACTACAGCAGAGGTCGACGACCGGAAGTTAGTTTTGATAAATTGTTTTTCATTTCACCAGATCGGACCGACCCTCGACGGGTTCTGTCTCCATCATGAAAACAACATTCATACAATCATGGAAAAATTCTTCAGTTCAGTGAATCATTCAAACTTAACTATAAACCACACGTGAACAGTGATAAAGAAAATTCAGTTTCAGCTGATGAAAAACATTCAGTGCAGATGAACCAGGCAGGATGAACACAAAGTTTTCTCACTTCACTCTGCACCACAGACAGTTTATAAAAACACAAACTAGAGTTTGAGGACGACTCACTAATGACCAGAAGTACCAACACAAGAGAACACAACATTACAAACACACACGTTTACAATGAGGACCTAAATATTAGTGACAACACATCACAATTTACTTCTTTGTGTTTCGCAAAAACAATCTAACTAAAAAAGTTTACAAATGAATCGTAAAACGAACAGAACTCTGATGTTCGACAGCATCAAGAGGTTGATCAGTTTCACCACTGTTGTTAAAATATTCAGTACGACCTCATGAGATATGAAACTTCAGTATTAACAAGAACAGAATAATATTGTTGTACATAAATAAATACTGTGCGTCATTTATAATTTCATGTTCACATGAATGTCTCCGTCAGGTTTTCTGTGGAGATTCTCAGATACGTGTGATTCTACTGACGGTGCGTTGTGTTTGTAGCTTCTGTTCATTTGTTCTTCAAAAGTAAATAACGACAACATTAACGACATCACAACCTGCGACTGAAGAACATCCGACAGAAGTGTGAACGTCAAAAATACATTTTATTACCGAGTGATTAACTTCACATGAACAAAGAAATAAAGTGTGAACGTACCTGTGACAGCTCCGACACCGTGTGTGTGTGTGTGTGTGTGTGTGTGTGTGTGTGTGTGGGGAGGTGTTCCTGCAGCAGGTTTACTCATTGACAGACTGAACAAACACTGAGCTGTTTGAGCTGCTTAAAGACACACATGCACACACACACTCACACACACACACACACAGAGACACTCCTCTTGTCTCGTAAACCATAAAGTCAACACTGATGGATCTTATGATTCAGAGTTTTATTTCCACACGTTCTCCGCTGCTGTTCTCTTGTGTTTTTGTTCTCGGGTCTTGAAGCAGCTCACCGAGTCGGAGACTGTTGAATGGCTCAAACACTTTTGAGCTTGGTTTAGAAACTGGCCACACGGTGGCGCTATCCCGATCACATTTGACGATTGGGAAGTTAATCACGTAACAGTGGCCGGCCGCTTCAGCTCTGAAGCGTTGATGGTTTTTATGCTCTTCTCTTCAAAAAGCTCTCTGCACCAACAAGAGACACAGACGAGTGGTTTACGAGCTAACGTGACCTCGTCAGGCTCAAAGTTAAAAACTTCGCTCTTTCTAATTAAATGACATTAAACTCAGCAGTTACATTCGTGGTCTGAGTCTGAACATTAGCAATTAGGTTGGAATTAAATGAAGCATTCAAAAGATTTGACCACACCCACAAATATTATACGTATATATATATATATGTATATGTGTTTGCCGTTGCTAGGCAACAGCAACACGGACGCCAAATAACACAACGTGTTCGTACAGTTCAGCAAGCTAGCAACACCAGAATAGGTTGTGTCAGCTGTGTCCTGTTAGCTTCTGTCGACTAACCTCATCCATATATACATATTTTATCTACTTTTATATATGTCTGTAGTTTTTTAAATCATATTCAGTATTTTATCTCGGACACTGAGTATTTTCTGCAGTTGTTTAACTGCCTGTGAGTCATGAAGGACTTTGACACTAACTTTTGTGAAAGGTGTAATAAATAAATTCTGACTAACTGAACCCGATCACGTTCCAGCTCTGAGTCTGTGATCTTTCCTTTAGCGCCACCCACTGGACAAACAGACTGCGTGATGAAAACTGTGACATGATGTTGGATTACAGAACATGAAGGAAGAAGATTTATTTGTCGAAGTCTGTGTGTGCGGATAGTTTTTTCTGTCAGTACACAGTATAGTACACACAGTATAGTACACACAGTATAGTACACACAGTATAGTACACAATGCTGTTCTTATTAAAGTCCACCTCAAACTGAAACTCACACTTTATCTGCGGCTCCGCCCGAACACTTCAACTGTCGCTTACCGCTTGACTGGCCGAGCGAGGCCGGTAGAGAACTGGGAGAGAGAGATAACTGCGTCTACGCTTCAGCTCAAAGAGGAACTTTTTTTTTTTTTCTCAGTTTCCTGTGCAGATGTTTGTTAGACTTATTTTTAGATCCACGTAAATATAAAATAAAACTTTGGACCCCAGAACGTCTGGAGCCAATGAGCAGCCTCCGTGAAACTTCAAGCTGGACAATCATCTATCGGTGTCACCTGAGTTCTTCGTCAGGAGCGAACCAATCACCTGTGAGCTGTTAAAACACAGGAAGCACTGAAGGGTGGAAACATAAAGGTATA